CCGTGGCCGTGGCCCCTGCCTCCGGGTCGCTCCCGCCCCAGGCGCCGCTCGCTTCCCCCTCACCCCCACTCCACACCCGGACTCCCCCATGTATGACGACTCCTACGTGCCCGGGTTTGAGGACTCGGAGGCGGTGAGTGCCCACGGGTGGTGGGGGATGGGAGTGGGGCAGTTGGGATGACACTGCCTCTCCTTTGGAGCCTTCCCCCAGTTCAGGACTTGGGAAAAGACACCCCAGTGTCGGGGCAGGATGCATGGGGTGGGGAGCGCTCTAGGAAAGTGGGGAGATGCCAAGGGCGCCAGTACCTCATTGATCATATCACCTAGGGGCTCCAGGTCTATGCCAGGAGAGGGCAGTGGGGAAGGAAAGGCTCGGGCAGGTGGCTCCAAAGCCCAGGGCAGTGGAGGTAGAAAGGGGTGGGTAGGTAGAGGCTAGGGGCATAGAGGCTTTAGAGGGAGCAAGAAACCATGTCAGGAGTTCTGAACGGATGATTTCCAGAGAAGCTGGGGGGTCCCAGCGACCTCTGCTTCAAGTCAACAGCAATTGAGGGAGCCTGGGAGAGAGCATTGGCCAGCTGAGTCCCAGCCTCTTCAAGAGACATCACAGAACTCCAGGGCCTCCTTCATCCTCTTCCACCTTCTATCCCTGGGCCTATCCTCTGACCCCAGCTAAAACCGGAGTACCCAGCACATGGGTGGGCCAGCTGCCTGAGCCCATCCATTCCCCCACCTCCTGCTGAGATGTCCTCAGAGCAGCAGGCACCCTGAGATCCTGCTCAGCACGGAGTCCTCGAGGTGAGGCCAGAGGATGGAGAGGAAGCTCTCTGCTCAGAGAAACCAGGCAACTGATAAATATTTAATTCTCCTCTTTGCTTTTATCTCCTGGCCCACTGAGACAAATCAGCTCATTAGGCAGTGATTCCCGGAGCTCAGAGAACAGGGAGAGTGCCTGGAAGGATGGGGAGAAGCTGCTCAGCCCCCCTGGAACTGCCAGCCTTCCTTCAACACCCCCTGAAAGAGAGCCTTCTTGGAAGAGAACCATTAGATGACTTGGAGGAGGCCCCTGGCGGGTGTGCAGGTTAGAGCTATACAGTTGTCAGCCATCTGCAGTCTGAAAAGGGGTCAAGCCCTTGCCCCTCTCTTTCTGCCAGGGCCAGGACAGAGGAGTGCTAAAGGCTCAGAGGCGAGCCTGCTCCCTCCCGGGCTTTTCTGGGACTGGGCTCTTGCTCGGCTCAATTTCCCATCAAGCTGCTGGAGCTAATAACCTCGCAGCAGCTCTCTCTGAGTAGGTAATTTTCAAGGCGCTGGTGGTTGCCTCTTCTGTAACAGTTGAAGGGACAGCTGGCATGGCCCAGGGTGCCAAGATGGCAAGGCGAGCTTGAGAAAGGACTCCTCAGGGAGGTCCCTGGAGGTTCTTCCCATCCCCGGTGAGAAGGCAGGGACTGCTGTAAGGTGAAGGCTGCCACGTGCATATGGATGTGCCCCTTTGCTTCCTCCCCACCTCTCTCCAGTTCCTGGATTACCCTCCCCCACTTCCTTTCTCTTGCTTGCCTCCTTGCTCTCCCGGAGGCCCCCTCTGAAGCAGTAGGAGGGAGATCAGGCTCTAAATAAATCCACCGGCTCATCTCCCTCCTCTCCTTCCCCGTGCCAGGCAAGAGTGGAGCTGCAGCCTGCCCACACACTCACCAGGCAAGGGGGGCACCACCAGGGCACTGTGCCAACTCCTAGCAGCTCTAAAGTGATGCGCCTCAGTGGCTGGTTTGGCCTGGTAGGGAGTGGGGGAGACAAGACCCTAGAGTGTGCTTGGCAGGACAGCCCTGGCCTCCCCAAGAGAGGCTAGCACTTCAGAGCTGGGTGAGCCCTGAGGGCTTGGGAGGAAGGGAGAGAGCACAACAGAGTAACCCATTGTCCCAGCCAGGGATATTGAGACAGGTGGCGTACTGGTTAAGAGCTAGCCTGCGATCTACAGTTAGCAAGGTCGGCAGTTCAAAACCTCCAGTCACTCCGTGGGAGAAAGACGGAGCTTTGTACTCCTGTACACAGTTCCCGTCTTGGCCACCACAGGGGCAGGTCTACCCTGTCTTATAGGGTCAATATGAGTCAGCCTCAACTCAATGGCAGTGGATGATCAGGCTAAGAACCTGGAGGACTGCTCTGTAAGGTTAGAGCCCTCTCCCAGCCCGAACTGGGCATCCAGGTGCTATCTGAAGTGCCCTTATTAAATGGAGTGGCCATTCTACCTTTCCTCACACCTCTTCACAAGCCATGCCCTGCAGACGTGCCTCCTGTGCCCTAAGACCCCTGGAAAAGTGCCCCCTCGCCCTCCTTACAGGGTGAAGGTCCTTCCTGGAGCACGGCCTCTCTCCTTCTACTACCAAGCCCGCCCTCTTGGTCTCAGCAGAGAGGGAGAAGGACAAGCCAACAGTAGTTAGCTCCTGTTACACTGGCTCACAGTCATGGTGATCCCTGTACAAGAGAGGGACTCGCTACCCAGTCAACCGTCGCTGTGATCGGTGCAGGGTCAGAACACATGTGATCCATCGGGTCTTCACTGGCAGCTGTTTGGAAGTAGATCGCCAGGCCTTTCTTCCTGTGTTGTGTTAGTCTAGACACCCTGCTGAAACCTGTTCGTCTTAGCAACACATGAGCCTCTACTGACAGGTGGGGGGGCGGCTGTGCATGAAGTGCGTTGGCCGGAAACCGAACCCTGGTCTCCCACATGCACGGCATGAGTTCCTCCATGGGGCGAGCAGTGACCTGCCCTCCCTTCCTCCCTCCCTTGGCGGAGTCTGTTCATCTGTTCGCTGAGACTTGGCCCTTCATGTTGTCTTCTTCAAGCCTCTGGTTGACCACAGACAGTCGACAGCTCACACTCAAGGCACCAAGCCCATGCCATCCCAGCAGGGCCACGGTGCTTGGCACGAGTGTGATCCTGCTCCCCACTGAGCTTGGCTTCGGTTGCCTGGCTTGCGGGCACATTCTGCAGTCTGCGAGGGAGGGTGGTCTAAAGCCCCTTCCTCTATGCACATTCTCTCGGTAGGCTGAGGGGGAAACCCGACATCCTGGCTTCTGGCCTCTTGTCCCAGGGGTGAACTCCTTTGACGCTCTGTCCAGCTATTCACTCTCGACCTTAAAGGGGAACTCTCCAAACGGGCCCCGCTCCTCCACAGACCCTTCCTATGGGCCAGACTCAAGAGACTGGCCTTCTCAGGTTATCAAAGACCCCTTCCCCGAGTCTCCAGGGTCCTGTTCCTCAGCTAGGTTGCCTGGTACCAACCTGGCCTCCCTCCAGGACCAGAGATCCCCAGGGCATGGGGAGATGTCGGCCAGCTAGGAGGCGTGGCTAGGGATATTGTTTTGTGTTGTCTTCTCAGCCTTGTTGGCTGCCCACAGCTGGCTGGCTGCCCCAGCAGGTGTGGGAGGAAAGGAGGTGGGCGTGGGGAGAAGAAACAAGAGGTCACTTCTCGAAGTTGGCAGCTCTGTGCCCACCTCTTCACCCTGAAATGGTGGAGACTCGCGAAGATGGGTGGCTCTGCCCAGACTCTCGGGGCCTGTGCCATGCCGACCACCATCTCTCGACCGGCTATACCCCTGCCAGGTGTTGGAAAGGGATCGTGTCCAGGCTGCTGTGCAGGCTGGGGTGAACAGGGGGGCCAGGTCCCCTGGATTCAGAATCATCTGCAGCTTCAGGACAGCTCCCTACTCCAGGGCCTGGGAAGACTGGGCTAGGGGAGCAAAGAGAGGAAGGAGGGAAATGTGGCAGACTCTCTTCAAAGCCCCAGCATGAATAGGCGTGGGGAAAGGGTGCGCATTTTAGCACATACAGTGGAGTTGATAGGAAGAGAGGCCCAGGGCCCTACCATCTCTGTGGAGAGGACAGCTCAGGCGTGAGTGGTGGCATGGAGTAGGAGAAGGGGGGTGCTACACCTCTCCACAGCACCCTTCTCTCCTGAGCCCAGGGGCACAGCCTCTCTGCCGTCTATCCCAGGGTTCAGCCGACTCCTATACTAGCCGCCCCTCACTGGACTCAGACGTCTCCCTGGAGGAGGACCGGGAGAGTGCCCGGCGCGAAGTGGAGAGCCAGGCCCAGCAGCAGCTGGAAAGGGCCAAGGTACCACCTTCCGGGGCAAGACAGGGTGGAAAGCTGTGAATGGTCCCATGCTGCGGGCAGCAAGGTCACTGGGCAGTGTGGGTGGTAGACAGAGGCTCTGGCCCTCAGGTGCTGAGGGGAGCGGTCTGAGGCCCCCCCCAACCGCACCCCTCCCACCTCCCACCCATGTTCTCCAGCACAAGCCCGTGGCATTTGCAGTGAGGACCAATGTCAGCTACTGTGGCGTCCTGGATGAGGAGTGCCCAGTCCAGGGCTCTGGGGTCAACTTTGAAGCCAAAGATTTCCTGCACATTAAAGAGGTGATCGGTACCCTGCCCTCTCCTCCCCTCAAAGCAGCATCCGCCACTCCATTTCCCTGACTGCTCCTGCCCCCAACCCCAGAGCTGCTCAGGTCTTTGGGCCTTCCTCTATAAACACTACGACTTATCCTTAGCACACAGCCCTCCTCTCTGAGCCTGGGTAGACGTGGTGGGTCTCAGCCTCCTCGGCTGTAAAGGGAATGGTTAGATTAGCTGCCTCGTAGGTCGGTCGCATGGGGAGCCCTGGCGGTGTAGTGGGTTACTTACGTAATGGGCTGTGAACCAGCGTCGGCAGTTTGAAACCACCGGCTGCTCTGTGGGAGAAAGACAGGCTTTCTATTCCATAAAGAGTGAACCGTCTCAGAAGCCCACAGGGCAGTTCTACCTCCTGTGCTGTAGGGTCACTGAGTCGGAATGGCATTGAGGGACATAGTGGGACCCTATGGGACAACTCTACGGGCTCACCCTGCAATCTTGGTCTGTCACATCCAGCTGCTCTGCTGCTGGCACCTTCTCCTGCCCAGCTCCCCTTGAGCTGCCTCCTCAGGCCATCGGCACCAGCTCACCCACTGCCTCCGTGGCTCCTTTGCCTCCAAGATCTAGGACTTAGGTCTGCATGGCCGCCTTTCACCGTCTTCCTGCTCCTCCCCACCCCTAGAAATACAGCAATGACTGGTGGATCGGGAGGCTAGTGAAAGAGGGTGGGGACATCGCCTTCATCCCCAGCCCCCAGCGCCTGGAGAGCATCCGGCTCAAACAGGAGCAGAAGGCCAGGTGAGAGCGGGGCTGTGACTCAACACGCACCCCGCCCCCAGATGAGGGCACACCACCCCTGGTGCACACTTACCCTTGTGTGTACATCACCCTGGTTGGACACTACCCCTGTGTGCACACCACCCCTGGTGCACACCTACATGTGTGTACCCCACCCCTAGTGCATGCCTACATGTGTGTGCACACCACTGTAGCGTGCGCCTACATGTGTGTGCACACCGCGCCTACCCTTGTGTGCACACCACCCCTGGTGCACATCCTGCACAAAATACCTATCTATACTCAGCTCTTCATGATGGCACATCTACACAACAAATAGGCACACTCACACAAATACAAACACATCCCACATTCACTCCCTCACTAAATAGTCTGTGGTGGAAACTTACCCAGCTGTTAGACAATGTGTGGACACCCAGGGGAGAGGGCTTCAAAGAATTTGTGGGAAAACTCCATTCTCTTTCAAATCCATGTTTCCACGGAGCTTTTGAAGCCCCCTCATTCAGACAGTGCCACCCACACACCCTCTCTCTGGCCTTTTCTGCTCGCAGGAGATCCGGGAACCCCTCCAGCCTGAGTGACATCGGCAACCGACGCTCCCCTCCTCCATCTCTAGGTAGCCTCCCCCCCCCTACACCGCCCTCTTGGATAGGTGGGTAATTAAGACACAAAGGAGGGAGTCAGCCTCCACCTACCCACCCACCCCCACCAACCCAGGTTGACTCTGTGGGAAGGGGCTGGTGGGGAAGCCAGCGAGCTGGGGCAACGCCATTCCCCATGGCCTTTCCCCTTCACCAACTTGAATCTTTTATCTCCTTTTCCCAAAAGCCAAGCAGAAGCAAAAGCAGGTGAGTCATGAGAAGGGCCCTGGGCTGGGGGGACACCATGGTCGGAGGGACAAAAGGATTCAGAAGGGAGGGAGTGCCAGGATATCACGTGGGCATAGGGCAGGCACCTGGCCATGGTTTTGCCTGACCCTGTGCCTGCTCTGCAGGCAGAGCATGTGCCCCCGTATGACGTGGTGCCCCTCCATGAGGCCGGTGGTGCTGGTGGGGCCCTCTCTGAAAGGCTATGAGGTGAGGCCCTTGCCACGAGGAGGCCTCCATCCAGGACTGGGGGTGGGGGGAGGGTGCGTGCGTGCGTGCTGTGGGTCATGCCTGGGGGCTGCTGCTGCTCTCCGCAGTAGCTGAGGCTTAGTCAGCTCCCCACCCCCTACCTCCAGGTCACAGATATGATGCAGAAGGCTCTCTTTGACTTCCTCAAACATAGATTTGACGGCAGGTAGGCTGCCTGACCTTGGGACTTTGCTGAAGGGAAAGTTGGGAAGGGCCTAGGGCTTTAGGTTTGGAGGTGAGCCGTGGCTCCCCTCCCTCACCCCAGGATCTCCATCACCCGGGTCACGGCTGACCTCTCGCTGGCCAAGCGCTCTGTGCTCAACAACCCTGGCAAGAGGACCATCATAGAACGGTCCTCAGCCCGCTCCAGCATTGGTGAGACGCCCCGGGCTCCCTGCCACTCTGCCCAGGCAGGCCTCAGTGAGGAGCTGCCACCTCCTTCTCTCTTCCCCATTTCCTCACCTTTCTGCCTTGCAAATCCTCTACCTGCCTCAGTAGATGAGTAAGGACCGATCTCAGCCGTTTCCTGCTCCTCTCCTCCGCCTTCTGAGCCCTTCCCTCCCCAGCGGTCTTCTGGGCGCCCCAGCAGCTGTGGGAGTACGAAGTGGGTGGAGCCACAGGTGGTCACGCCTGCGCGCTCCCTCCACAGCTGAGGTCCAGAGTGAGATCGAGCGCATCTTTGAGCTGGCCAAATCCCTGCAGCTGGTGGTCCTGGATGCCGACACCATCAACCACCCAGCACAGCTGGCCAAGACCTCCTTGGCCCCCATCATCGTGTTTGTCAAAGTATCCTCACCAAAGGTAGGTTGGCAGGGGCGACTGGGCTGCCCCTCCTGAGGGTACCACGGTGCTTGGTCTCTGCACCAGGAGTTCCCTTTCCCCACGGCCTCTTGACGCCACAGTCATCCATCCTCACGTGCTGCTAAGGCCGGGTCACTAGTGGGGAAGGCATACCGGCCCTTCCCAGGCCCGGTCCGGCTCAGCCCAGGAGATGCCAGGCTCGGCTCTGCCCTTTCTTTCCCTCAGGTGCTGCAGCGTCTCATCCGCTCCCGGGGGAAGTCACAGATGAAGCACCTGACTGTACAGATGATGGCATATGATAAGCTGGTCCAGTGTCCACCCGTGAGTGCCTGCAAGTAGCTCCTGCTGTGCCCTCCCTTGCTTTTCCAGGGCTAGGACTGGATGGGGGGGGGGGTGAGGGGGGCAGCGGCGGAAGGGAAGGCAGTAGCAGTCGGTAAGGGGCTGCCGCTGAGAAGAGCTGGACATTGCCTTTGCCCCAGGAGTCCTTCGATGTGATTCTGGATGAGAACCAGCTGGAGGATGCCTGCGAGCACCTGGCTGAATACCTGGAGGTTTACTGGCGGGCCACCCACCACCCAGCCCCCAGTCCCGGTTTTTTGGGCCCTCCCAGTGCCATCCCCGGACTTCAGGTATCCGTTTCCTGAAGTGGGTTCAGATCTTCAAACTCAGCCAGCCAAAGCACTGCCCTCCCCCTCAGCTCAGCCATGCTCAGCCCAAAGCCCACGAGTGCCCTCGGCCTCCAATTAAAAGGCCTGTAGCGCTCTTAACTCTGCTGGAGACGGAGCTGGCTCAGACAGCTGAAGAACTTTCTGGTGAGATGGGGAATTAAGTCAGCGAGATGCGTCATCAGAGATGCGATTTCTAAGGCTCAAGAGACTCAGGCTCCAAGCCCCACTCCTGAGCTGTCTGGAAGGCCGAGCCTAGATCTCTGAGCACAGTGATCCGGAGAGGGAGTATAGACCTTCCCCAGAGGGCTTCCCAGGGACCAAACCGCCAGGTGGTCTGCCCACAGAGCAGCTGACGGGTTGGGACCCCGGGCTTTGTGGTTTGCAGCCCAGCACTGAACCCAGTTGCCCAGCTCTGCAGAGGAAGACTGCCCTAGCGTGCATCTCCTTCCTTGTGCTATTTCCAGTATTTCCCAGGGGGACAAACCCCTGCAGAGCGGAGAGGGAGGTCCCTGTTCCCCCCAGCCCTGGCATAGTCTGTACTGCCTCACTGAGGGCTGCCTGTGTCACCCCCAGAACCAGCAGCTGCTAGGGGAGCATGGCGAGGAACACTCCCCACTGGAGCGGGACAGCCTGATGCCCTCAGATGAGGCCAGCGAGAGCTCTCGCCAAGCCTGGACGGGGTCTTCACAGCGCAGCTCCCGCCACCTGGAGGACTACGCAGATGCCTACCAGGACCTGTACCAGCCTCACCGCCAACACACCTCGGGGCTGCCCAGCGCTAACGGGCACGACCCCCAGGACCGGCTCCTGGCCCAGGACTCGGAGCACAACCACAATGACCGGAACTGGCAGCGCAACCGGCCCTGGCCCAAGGATAGCTACTGACAGCCACCTGCCGCCCTGCCCAAGCAGGCCCAGGCCCAGCTGACTGGAGTGCCTACTCTCAGCAGGCAGGTTGGAGTTAGACTGGCATGAGGCTGGCTCTAGGCTCAGCCCCCAACACCCCCTGCCCAGCCCCAGCTGCAGGGCTGCCTGTGGTCCCCAGGTCCTAGGAGCAAGAGGGACTCCCCCTCACCTCCTGGGCAGTGACCCCCCTCTAGGCGCCCATTCCAGGTACTAGCTGTGTGTTCTGCACCCCTGGCACCTTCCTCCCCTGCACAAGAAGCTGCCTATCTGGGCAGTGCCCTCAGGCCAGGATCCCCTTAGCAGGGGCCTTCCCCCCACTCAGGGAAGGGATGCCCCTCAAACTGACAAGAGGGTGGAGGTGTGATTAATGGCGCACAGCAGCAGTAAGACCTTGAGCAGGCGGGCACAGGTTGCAACAGTCAGGGGCTTGGAGATTGTACTTTGGGGCCCACAGGCCTCCGTTCACCTCACTGCCACACATTCGAAACAAGACAATCAAAGCCCTTCGGGGTGGCACTCCAGTCCGTTAGCTGGGGTGGGGTATCCCAGTGCAGCTGAGACTGGGGCCAGCAGGCAGCTGAGACTGGGGCCAGAGCAGCCAGTGGCTGCAGCTCTGGGAGGGCGGGCACTCCTCGCCCTGCGCAGAACTTCTTTTAACATCTGACAGGACCAGGGACTAGGAGCATGGGTCAAGCCACACTGGGCTGAAGGCAGGCGGCCACCTGGACTGAGGGCTTGTGGGGGGAGGGCGTGTATAGCACGGAATGTGTGGAACAACTTCAGAGGCCTGCTCACCCCCTTTCTTTTGCCCTGGCATCCAGTCATTCCTGTTTTCACCCCTCATGTGCCCCAGGAATCCAAGCCCCAACTTTATTCCCATTCATAGCTGCTGCTTGTTAAGTTAGGGTTAGATGGGGAGAGGTAAGACACCGGGGACAGCCCCAGAGGCCCGTCTCCCCGGCTACCCTTGCCCACTGCTCTAGTCTGACCTACAGAGCATGTTCCATAAGACCCTGCCCCAGCACACTGTCAGCATAATAAACACCATGCACAGTCCTTGGGCTTCTGTTGTGTCTGCGGGCTCTGGGGCTGGGTCCCCTGCTTCCTGGCTGCCGAGTGTGGACGAGGGCAAGGCCAAGGTGGATGCACAAAGGACTCATTGAAGAGGGAAGAGAAAATGGCAGAACGGGGAGAGCCCGCTCCCCCCTGGTGCCCGAGGGCAGACAGTCAGCAGCACAGATGGAACTAGTCCTGGGAGGAGAGGAGGAAGAGGCTGAGTCACTGCTTTACCTTGTCCCTGCCTCCGGCCACGAAAGTCCTAGAAGTACCAACTTGAACTTGTAGTTATGGGGCATCAGTGGAAGGGCCCAGACCCTGCAGGGCTCACCACAGCCTGACTCAGTCAGGTCTGGCGCTGTGTCCTTCCTTCCCACAAGCCGTAGACAAGAAAAGGCACACAGCTCGAGGGAGAAGTCTCAGCTGCACCTCCCCCGCTAAGGCTTCCTCAACACCGCCTTCCTCACCCTGGGCAGTCACCTAGAGTGTGTCATGGCACCAGCCGCATACTGAGAGACATTGGGGTCCTGCTGCCCGTGGCTTTTCCCTCTCCCTGTGGGCCATGGCCTCCATTTCCCAAGTTCAGCCACTGTACCCGGTGCTGCTGCTCGGCCCCTCCTGTCTTCTCTGGTGCCGGGGAGAACCTGAGATGAGCTTGGCTAGAATGAAACAGAGCCTTAATACCCATGTATTTATTCTCAGAACATACACACTCATCTTCTCAGAGAACAGGAAACACGGATTTCACTCGGTGACATAGAAGATGAACACAACCAGTTTGCCCTGATTCCATATCTACTAAAAACGTCCTGGGCGAGGGACGCCAAGAGTGCATGGTACCCCTTGGCACAGGGGTCCTACACGGCTCTATCAGCTCCCGAGACGCACATGTGAAAACGGCTGCCAAAAAAACAACAGGAGCCTGAGACCCGTGACCTGCAGGGTGCCCTCTTCCCCGGTCATCCTGGGAAAGGAGTTGCGGCAGCCAAGTCTGCCAAAGGCGCTCCCAACCAGGCAGGCAGGTTCTAGTCCAGTCCAGGGGACGATGCCAACCGGCTGTCCCCTATCCTGCCAAGAGCCGACGGGCTCCTGCAATCCCCGAGCCTCACAGAGAAGCAGAACTGGGGCCGATTGCTCCCTCTGCGCCTCCTGAAGCCCAGCCCTTCCGACCTGTAGGTCTGGGCCAGGAAGTCTTGTTCCGTAAGCTCTCACACTCAGAGTAAAGACCTGGAGAGGGGTGTGAGTGTCCTGGAGAACCAGCATTAGCCAGCTGCAGAGCAGGCCCTTAACCCTGAGGGAGAACGCTGGGTCAGGCAAAGATGGTCTCTTCCCGGCGCTTCTTGGTGAGGATAGTGCCTGGCTTGTGCTGGGCATCTGGGTGGTTGGCCAGTTCCGGGGGGCAGGAGGACACAGGGCTCTCCAAGATGGCTTGCTTCAGCTCATAGAACACAGCAGAGTCCTCTTTGGTAAGGAAGGTGATGGCCACACCACTCTTGCCTGCTCGTCCTGTACGGCCAATCCGATGGATATAATCTGGGGGTGTGAGGGGTAAGGGTAGGAGGAATGTCAGTGTCGGGGCATCAGGCCAGACCCCCGGTGAGCACTGTCTAATGCCTCTGCTTCCAAAGGGGCCGCCTTACTGCCAAATCTCCAAAGACAGTCAAAATAACTGCAGTACCTACAGCACTCTAGTACTACTGATGTTTGGTTATCCTTCCACTTAAGACCAAGAGTTGCCTAGCACCAAGCTTCCCCACACCCCTGAGGACTGAAGTCTTCCCTCGGGTGCCAGGAGGACAGATCCAGGGGAAACAAAGGAAGAGCTTTGCGAGGGCGGCACCGGGACTTGAAGGGAAAAGACGAGGAAGGGGTTCTGTAAGACGATGGGCTGGAGCGGCTTTCCCCGTACGTACCTTCAATGTTTTTGGCCATATCATAGTTGACAACCATGGACACATCTTGGATGTCGATACCACGGCCAGCCACATCTGTAGCCACCAAAATATCCTTGGCCCCGGCCTTGAGGTTGGACAGTGCAAACTCTCGCTGCTCCTGGCCTTTCCCACCATGCAGGGTGCAAGCATTGTACTGTTGGCAAAGGAGGAAAGGGCAGGGGGTCAACACGACAAGACCCAGATGCTGACAGGCAGTGGAGGGGGACAGAGAGAGGGGGAGCTGGAGGGGGGAAGGGGAAGGAGACAGGAGAGAGCAAATGGGAGTAAAAAGGGGACGAGGCAAGCCAAAGAAAGAGACGGGGAATACAGGGTGGTGTGTGTCAGGAAGAGGGGTGGAGGTCAAAGGTCAGGACCAGATGCAAAGTCTGAGAGATGACAAGCAGTCAGAGAGAATTAGGAGAGAGAATAAGAGCAAGAGCAAGGATCATGAAGATGGAAGTTAAGGGTTGAGTGGAAAGGACCACCTTTCCCTCAAGCACCAGCCTCACGAGTGGTCTTGTACTGCAGCACCGGCAACACTGTGTGGATACTTTTTAGCCATCCCCAAACATGGTGGACTGGGTTTCTGGATTTAACAAATGAATTACGGCCATCGCCTCCTAGGACATCTCCATCAACTGGTGTAATACAGCCCATAAAGTGCTACATCCAAGTTTGGGCAAATAGCGCCCGGGGTCTTAAAACCTCGCAAGCAGCCATCTAAGATCTAATGCCTGGTGTCCATTCATCTGGAGCAAAAGAGAAAGGGACCGAAGGCTCCAAGAAGGGCCCGGTGTCGGGGCGCAGCGGGTACACTACCCCAGCCCTGAGGCTGCACGTGCTGCCAGCCTCGCTCAACCAACCCCTCTGAGCAGGAAGACACAGGCTAGTCCCAGAGAGAAAACATGGGCCAGAACCTCAGCCTTCTTTAACTAGGAATAAGTAAGCAAAGCTGACCTCCTAGGCTAGCTAAAACGCGATGATTTCTTGAGACCTCTGTGCAGAGATACTCTTCAAACCTGAAGGCGAAATCAACTGCATGGGGCCACCGTTTAGCTAAGTAACCAGCTGGGCTCCCTGATAATGAACGTCACCCTCAAGTTCTGTGCCTCTTTTGAAAAACCACCTCAAGACAACATTAGTTAACAAAGAGGTGAGAACGTCGGGGGGGTGGGGAGACAGACACTCACTCATAGAAATGGGACTAAAAACAAAGATCCTGAGAATGCCAGTGAGCAACTTATGTAGAAACTGTGGAATCCAAGCTGCTGTGTAAACCTTTACCAAAACCACAATAAAAATAATAATAAAAGATCCTGACTATCAGCATCTTTCTCCTGACCCGCCCCAACTCTTCCAGAGCATGTGTCTCAAAACCTCCCCGGCCCCACCCCACTTGGACCAAGACCCTGGCCGCTCTGCTGGCACTGCTGGAATGGACACCCACGGCATCTTATCAAGCAACCCAGTTCCTTATCACCACCAAACTGCCTTTCCCTCTGGCTCTGCCTCAGAGTATGGATGAGGCTGGAGAAAGGGTCAGACTGGAAAGCAGGTTCCGAAGGAGACCCTCTAGTTGGACAAAGCGCCAGAGACCAGCCTCTGTCAGACATACCCCCATCTTCTCCAGGGACTTGGCCAGCACATCGCAGCCCTTCTTCTGGTTGACAAAAATGATGATGGGTGGATCAAAGCCTTGTTCCAAGATTGCCAGCAGCTTTTTCCTAGGAGGCGAAGATGAAGAAAAATTAAGGTACACAATGGCCCCGCCTCCAAGTGACATGCCCGTGGCATGCCCAAGAAGAAAGCAGCCGGTCTAGAGCAGGGCAGTGCGCTCTCCGCCCAACCCAATCTCACTGAGCCAAGCTTTCAGAGCCCCTTCTCCACCCTGCTTCCCCCCGCACCTCTTCTCTGACTCGGACATGAGGAAGACCTTCTGTTCCACTCGTTCGTGGGGCTTGCCCGCAGAGCCGATGTACACCACAGCAGGTCGCCGAAGGTAACTCCGAGCCAGGCGCTCCACTGCTGGTGGCATGGTGGCCGTGAACATGACTGTCTGTGGAAACAAGAGGCTCAGGCTCGGGCTCGGGCTCAGGCCCAGCCTGGTCATCACAGGCCGCTCAGCCCAATGGAGGAATCTCCAGTGAGCCCTGGGAGTAAGCTTTGATAGCCACTGCCAAAAGGGTGCTTTACCACCCCATTTCTGTCCCCAGCACATGTCTTAAAGCATTTCATAGCCTGTGATGGTGGGAAGGGCCGGCAGTATCAGGACACCTTGGAATCGTCTCTCAAAGAACAGTTAAATAGCTCCACCCCCAGGGCTGTCAGAAGACTGCATCTATGCTGGAGACATGAACGATGGGGTCCCCCAGGGCAAGAAAGAAAAGGTAGTAGACCGGGAACTTGCTCAACCTTGCCTAACCCAGGGAACCAGTCTTACTTGACGGTACTTATGTTTTCCTGACTCAAAGTTGGCCAACATCTTCTCTGGGTCTTCAGCCTCATCGGTGTCTGGCTTCTGGTTGCTGACAGGCATGTGCTCCAGAATCTTCTGGACATCTGGTTCAAAGCCCATGTCAATCATCCTATCAGCCTCATCCAGAACCACATAGGTACAGCGGCTCAGCACCAGGTAGCGGTTCTCCAGCACATCAATGAGACGCCCCGGGGTAGCAATCACAATCTGGAAGGCACAGTGTCACTGCAGGTGGCCCGCGGAGACCTCCAAACCACCCACATTATGCTGGCAGTGGAAGCTGCTGAGAACTGCCAGGGAAGTGTCTTGTTACGACACTGAATTTTCCAGGAATGAATGGGGTCTTGAGTGAGGTCTGACATTAGACAAGAAGAAGGGAAATCAGAAGGCACTCTCCTAGATGGGAGGGAGGCTAAAACACTATGGAGGGGCTAGTACACCGGGGTTACATTGGGAAATCTGCAGGAGACGGAATTCCTATAGCAGATTTCTTAGCAAAGTATGTTTCCTTCTGCCCCGCTCCACCCTAAGGTGGCAACACACAGTCAATGGGATGGTCTCACAGTGACTACGGCCTTTGGATTTGAATCTCAGCTCTGTAACTGGGCATTATTAACCTGAGGTTTCATTTTTAAAAGGGAGATACCTACTTTCACACGATTACTGTGAGAATTAATGAGTAAATATCAATGTAAGGAGTGCTTTGTACAGTTACGTGTGCATAGTCCTGAGTAAATTATTGTTCTGTGTTGTTGATTCAATTCGGAATCCTGCTGATTCTAAACAAGTAGAACTGACTCACTGATCCTAAACGAGAGATCAAAACTATCCTGTGTGTGTGTGTACATGTGCATGCACACACCAAGCCTTTTCTTAATTTCATTGGACATCTATGGAAGAATCTAGAAACAGAGCCCCCACATCGAGAGCCTTCCCAAATGATGGCCCAATGTACTGGCTAAGTGAACTGACCTCACAACCCATGCGCAGCCTGAAGCCCTGGTCTTCTCTGGAGATGCCGCCAATGACGGCCACGGTGCGGATGCCCAGGGGCTTCCCAAACTTGATGGTCTCTTCCTCAATCTGCTGGGCCAGCTCTCGGGTGGGGGCCAGGATGATGGCATAAGGCCCCTGGTCTGACTCCTCGATCCTGTGATAAATGGGGCGCCCCACAGCTCCATCAGCCTTCTTGTCCTCCGACCACCAACAGAGCAAGACAAAAGGCATCGTTCAAGGGAACAAGTGAAATGGGGCAGGGTGCGGGGATGTGACAATCCCATCAGAAACCAGAGACTCCAGGGTAGCGAGATTCCCCAAGAAGTGGTTCTTGCCAGAAAAAAAATCATGGTTGTCTTTGATATCATGATCCAATTGTTATTCTCTAATATCCACCCAAAATTAAAGAAGGAGGTTTCTGATTACAGACTTGAAAACCCAACAGTCATTTCTTTCACCCCCCACCTGTCAATCTTGGGGAGTGTGGTGATCCACACGAGCAACGGGATGAGGAAGGCTGCTGTCTTGCCACTGCCGGTCTCGGCTACACCGATGATGTCACGGTTCTGCAGCCCTATGGGAATTGCCTGACGCTGGATGGGTGTTGGTTCCTAGAATGGCCATGAGAAAAGTACAAGGAACAGACCACGATGTACCACCCAGTCTGCTGTGACAGGGTGCACACGTGTTTCATACAGAGTGAGGGCATCATGTGTAATTCACAAGAATGGGAATCAGAGAAGAAACAGTCGCTAAAGGCCGACACCTCCACCAGAGTGAATGGCACCTGGTCCCTTCGCGCAGGGAAAGCAAAGAGTCCAGGGAGAGAAAACGCTAGGCCTCCCGGGCCCCAGTGTCCCTTACCTTGTAGCCACACTTATCAATGACCTCCAGGATGTGCGGAGGGAGAGAAGAGTCCTTCCAGGACCGGATGGGGTTGGGGATCTTGCCACCTTTGGTGGTGATGCTGTAGTCCTCCCGGAAGATGCGCCAGTCCCGGTCTGTCATCTCGTCTAACTTCTTCTGGGACCAGTGGCGATCATCCCAGCGCTGCTTGGCTTCCTTCTTGCGGAGTTTGCGCAGTCTTGCCCTGGAGCAGGGTTTGAGGAAGGAGAGAGATCAGCACTGTCCACTCCTTTCCACGGCGGCTCTGCGCTCTGCCCAGCCACCAGGGCCCCGCTCCCTCACTCCTCCTGCTCCTTCTCCTCCAGAGTTCGTCTCTTCTCCATCAGGTCTCCGTAGAAACGGGACTGCTCTCGCTTCTGCTGCTTTAGGTCAATGCCTGCAATGAAACCGCGCCCCAACAACTGCACCTGGTGCCGTTCTTTGTACCTAGGAATGAGACAGGAAGAAAATGGCGTTGTTGTGACAGCAGTCAAAAAGGAAGGGCAGGATACCAGTATGTAACCATGTCCCTTTCTGGCCAAGGGCTTTCCTCACCCAGCAGACCGACTCCTCCATTACTACACAGCACGCTCCCGCCCCGCCCCGCCCCGCCCCGCCCAGGGGAAAGAACTAGAGCTTAGGCCCAGCCACTCACAGGGGGTTGTAGTCGATGGATGTGTCCTCGGACGCATCCCACTCAAAGACAAACTTGCGGTCATTGAGATGCCTCGTTCGGCGCCGCTTCTTGATACCGCCCAGGTAACGCTCCTGCCGAGGGGACAGGATCATCAGGCTCAAGGTCCAAATGCCAAGATCGGGATGGCTAATAACTGAGGTGGGTTTTTCTTTTCTTCTTCGACAGGGGCAGCAACCTCAAAGACAGGCCAAGGTCTGTACCTTAATGGCATGCAGCTCCTTGCTCTTGTCCTTCTCTTCCCGGATTTTCTGCCGCCCTTCTTCATCCTCATTCCCATTGGTCTCCCGCTCCATCCTCTCCCTCCGTTCCCGCCGTTCCCGTTCCTGAGGGTCTTCTGCAGACCAAAGAAAGCACAGCCGGAGGAAAGGTCAGGGGAAGTAAAACGGAGAGGGAGTGGAAAGAGCCCAGACAATGTTCACCAATTGAGGAAAAAAGGGTAAATTATGAGGAAAGTGGAGACCTAACAAGAAGTCACCTTTCTCATAAACTTCCCAGTCTCCCCTCTACCCACATCCAGGGCAAACCGCTATCTGTCCTGAGGGCCACCATAATCCCATCCCACCCCTTCCTGCCGGTTCTAGACGGCACACAAGGTAGGAGCACGAACCCAACATCTTTCTGCCCATGTCTTGGAACTGCTTCCTCTTCTTCCTCTCCTCCTCAAGCATTTTCTGCCGCTCTTCCACCTCCTGCTGCCGCCGCTTCAGGGCTTCAGCCTCTCGCTCTGCTTTGGAGAGGAACTTGGGCTGTCAACAGATGGGCACTATAAACAAATGACCTGGGGGTGGGGGACAGTCACATCCCCAATGAGGAGACAGCAGAGGAGCCCCAAAACATTTGCTTGGGTATGAAGCCAGTTGAGAAGAATAAAAATCGGCCCGGGCCCCCACACTCCTACCTTAGCCTCAGCTTCTTCCTCAGCCTTCTTCTTGGCCAGTAGCTCCTCCAAGGATAATGGCTGGGCCTGAAGATAAAACGTGGACTTCCATTCTTAAAGGCTCTCACCTCTGAAGATCAGCAAAGCAGGGCTCAAGTTCAAGGGGAGGGAGATGAGGAAATCCTTTCCTTTTACCTTGAGTTTCTTATCACCGTGTTCATCCTCTTCATCCTTCCTGGAGTCTCGATCCTTCCGAGATTTAAAATCTTTTCCTCGGCCAGGAGATAAGCTTTAAGGAAAAGGGATGGGGAAAGATCCATATTGCTGCCTCCCCGGGGCCCTGTCAGGCCCCGAAAGAGGGTAGGAGGTTACCCATGACCCCACAAGACTGGTCCGTGGTCACCCAGCATGCCTGAAGCTCCTTTTGCAGGCATGCCTGCGCTGCTGCACTGAAACCAGGGCTATTCTGATCACACACCTGAATCTCCTTTTCTGAGACTGCCCTCTTCTGGGATGTGGGTCCTCATTCTTGACATCAAAAATACTGCCTCCAAACAGCACTTGCAGATCAAAAAACCCTAATCCTGCTCATCTTATAGCAGTGAAACTGCTCCAAGACACTTACTTACATGTTCCCTCTTCTCATCTTTCCTTTCTGCCAGTCTCAGCAACCCTTTGCCACGCGTGCTCTAAGTGTAATCTACCAGCGATCTCACACAAGCCCACTGTGTTTCTGCCTGCTGCCCTGAATTCACGTGTACACGTTCAGGGCCTTGTAAGAGCTGTGCACAGAAAGCTTCCACACAAAAGTGATCAGGGCACTGGGGCATGATGCTTGCTAACAAGTATGTGTTCTATATCCTGGGGAGGATGCTTGCCTGATGGAGAAAAAGGGAGGTTACGGGAACTGGTAACTTTTTCCAAATGGATTTCTAAACTCTAAGGATAAGGATGCGCTGACCCTCAAGGATTGTTACTTCACAAATGCATTGTGCTGCTAAAACACAGCTCTGCAGTAATCACCACAAGACCTGCCGGGAGACACTGACTTCCCTGTGCAGCCGAGCCGGCTCACAAAGTGACGGGAAGGGACAGCAGCATTCACCTACAGCTCATTCTTGGTCCCTCAGGTACCTGGATCGTCTACGGTCCTTGTCCCGTCTGTGTCCATCCTTGTCCCGATCCCGGTCCTTCTTGTTCCGATCTCGCTCCTTGTCCCGTTCTCGCTCTTTGTGCCGCCGTTCTCTGAAAGAGAGAACATTGAAGGAATCCTTTGACGGCCCAACCACACTGCTTCCAACACTGCTTCCCGGCAGCCCTACCGTGTCCATGCTCTTTCTCCTCAGAGTAGTGTTTGTCCACCTAGGGAACATGTGTCCTGGGGCAGTTAGGAGGGAATTCTAAGGTCTACAGATTAGAGTTGTACTGCTAAATTTTAATGGCCAAGACGGCCACGGGCTAAGTGAGCTAATGACCTATCTTCCTTGATCATCTGGACCTTAATCTGACAAATTCCCTCTTAAACGCTAAGAGCTGCTGGGACAACTGAGAGACGTTGAAAACATCTGCAGGGCTAACTGACCTCACTCACTGCCATGAAGTCAGTTCCAGCTCACAGCGACCCTGTATGGCAGGGGAGAACAGCCCCTGTGGTTTCCAAGACTAGATCTCATTACCGGAGTAGAAAGCCTTGTCCTTGTCCCATGGAGCTACTAGTGGTTTCGAACCACCGACCTTGTGGTTAGCACCCAACATGCCACCAAGGCTCTTTCCTAACCGGCCCAGATATAGAGAAATGTGAAATAGATAATCTCCTCATACCAGAGGCGCGGAGAACCCAAAACGAAGACATTTGTAAAGTATCGGCCCTTCCCACATCATAGTGGTAGGCAAAGCGCTTTACCTTTCTGTAGACTTGGAGCGGGAACGGGAGCGAGAACGGCTGCCCCCTCGGCGTCTATCCCTGGAGCGGTGGCGCTTCCTATCCTTTGCGGGGGAAGACTTCCGGTCCCGGTCTCTTTCCCGCTCTCTGTCAGGAGTCCGAGATCGCTTCCGTTCCTCCTTGGAAGGTGATGCGTCACGGTCCTTCTTGTCGGCCAGCTCTCCGGCCATCTGTCATGGTGAGAGGAGTACTTTTGTGTACTGCTGGACACTGTCCTCTCAGTTGGTTTATAATGCAGTTAATCTCCAAACAAGTCACCCCAGGAGGACAATGCGCTAGCACGCTCACTTTACTAAAGAGGGAACCGAAGCTCACGACCATGAAGCAACTTGCCCAAAGACACACAGGCAGTCAGCAGCACATGATGGCGCCCACTCTTACGCACTCCCTCCACTATGCTGTCTCTGGCTTCTTTGTGTACATTGATTTCTAAATGTATACAATGTGTACCTCAAGCTGTCCTCATCAGACTCCCAAAGAGGACTGGGAGAAGTATGGAATGGACACTGCACTTCTCTAGAAGGAGCTTGTATTACCTTAGGAGTCGGTCTGCCAGTCCACCAAACTCAGTCAACACATCTTAATAAGTCTCCATCTCCTTGAGCTCCTAAAACCCAAACCCCAACGCACTGCCATCGAGCTGACTGACTCTCAGCCCGCCTGTGAGGCCAAACAGAGCCGCCTTTGTGGGTTCCTGAGACTAAATCTGTGCAGAAGTGGAAAGCTCGGCTGCCTCCAGCAGCCACTGGGGGTCCACTGCTGGTCTGCAGTCCAACGGTAACCCACTGCCCGACCAGCATTCCTCGAGCTCTTATTGGGTCTCTAACGGGGGAGGGAAAAAAGGGTTCCTTTGAGAACTGGAATCATCATCAACACCCTACAGAACCAGGCTCAAGGAAAATCAAGTTTAAGTGGAGAAGCAAACTCACTTTTACTCAGATGACAAGAAATGTACCTATGACAGGCATGTTGGCAGCCAGTGCCTCCTCAGGCTCAATGAGCTACAGCTACGTTTCCGTCTCAGGAGACACTTGAGCAAAACTCCGTTCTGTTTTCCTTCTGCCTGCAGGATATGGAATACTGTCAGCTGTCCGTCCCTACTTCTGCCAGGTGCTAAAATGATAGCAGGCTGATGTTCCATCTATCCTATCCCTAGGGCTGACAGCACATTCTATTTTCAGTGCATTGTTATCCCACGGTCCCTGAATCACACAAACAATTTGCACTTGTCTCCTAACTGATCATTTGGCAGGTTAAACCCACCCCGTGGAGCCGCAGAAGAAAGGCCCGGTAATCCTCCACGGGATTACCGTCAAGAAGAACCCTACTCTGTAGCTTATGGGCCAGAACCAACTTGACAAGAGGTTACTTCAGCCTCAACTGGTTCAGTTGGAATTTCACTTCCCTAAAGGTTAGTTAGCTACAAGTCTAGCTACAAGTCACAAACAATTAAGTGCTCGACCACTAGCCAAGAGTTGGTCAGTTCACACCCACACAGAGGTATCTCAGATGGCGAGCCCCTGGAGATGTACTCCTGCCAGGCCCCAGCCTCATGCACACACTCCGGAGCAGTGCAACTCTGCACATATGGGGCCACCCTGAATCGGAATCACTTCAAGGGCACCGAGTAACGTGAGCTTAAGCGTATAGTCCTCTTTCCTATGCCGCTCCTCGCCATGTATCTTTAAGGAGGAAGGCGTATGAGTGTGAAATAAGACGTATGAAATGAGCACATCGCACTGGCAGAAGCCACTGTATCTGACAATTGCCTGAGGAATGACTGAATGGTCCACATCCCTACAGCACCCAGATCCCATGGAAATGGTATTTGTGGCTTTCCCATCTTAAGCGCTCTTCTCTCTAAAGCACCTTGGACATCACTGATCCTTGCAGTAAATATTCGTTGTGCACCTACTAGGTGCCAGAAACTGCTCTGGGCTACAACAGTCTGCAAAACAAAGTCTCTGAGCTCATAACATTTACATTCTAGTGGGGCAGCCAGTAGACGGCAGGCAGAAAGAGAAGCGCATTTCAAACAGTACTGAGGGCTAATGAAGAAAACGACACGGGGCGAGATTTATCTCCTGGGAAAGAAATGTTTAGGTGACATTTACTCTGAGATTTGAATGATGGGCAAGAAAAAAGACCCCCAGACACTGACCAGGGAAAAGAATGCATTAGGCAGAAGGAACAGCAAGCACTAACGCACTAGCTTAGCATGTCTGTCAACAAAAGAGAGGCGTGCGTGGCTGAATGGCAGTGACCCAGGTGAGCTCAGTGGGGTAGGCAGGAATTGGATTATGACAATTTTAGTAGGTCAGGGTAAGGAGTTTGGATTTTAACCAAAGTATAACAGGAATCTTAAAAGGAATTTAAGCAGGAAGCGATGCAATCTAATTTTAGTTTTTAAAAGAATTACTTTGGTGACTCGCAAGAAAATATAGATTAGGAAGGGAGGCGGAAACAGCTCACTAAGAACATTACTGCACTATACTCCAGGCAAGTGACTACCAGGGCTCGGTGCCGGGCACTGCCAACGAACATGAAAAGAAAGAGACAGCTTCAGGGTAGACAATGGGGCAGAGCTGACAGGACTTATTGGTGGAGGGAGAAAGGCTAAGAGGGGCCCAGAGACAACGCCTAACTTTCCAGTTTGAGCATCTGCGGGGCACACAGTGCACTGGAGAAGTCATTGGGGAAGGAAAGATGTGGGAGGAAATCAAGAAGACGTTTCCTTTTGGTTCTGTTGAGGATGAGATGTCAGTAAAACAACCCAGTTGAAATTCCAGGAAGGTAGTTAGAGATGCAAATCTGGGGTTCAGGGGAGCATTCAGGACTGGAGACAGAAAATTGAGTCACCCAAACACAAATGGCTTTTTAAGACATGAGACACTAGATCACACTACCTAAGAAGGCAACCTAAAGAAGAAAAGAAAGAGCCTAGGACTGAACACCGCAGCATTCGATTCACATCAGACAAAAGACTGCAGAGCAGCAGGAGCCAGTGAGAGGGCAAGAAAAAGCCAGCCTGGCATCACAGAAGCCAAGCAATGTTTCAAGGAGGGATGGGCATCTGTGTCAATGGCCTCTGAGGCAGAGAAATGGGCACTGCATTTGGCAAAGTGGAGATTGCTAGTGACCTTGTCAAGAGGGCTTTCAGTGGCATGGAGGGAGCAGAAGTCGGAGAGGAGTCATCTGAGGAGGGAATGAAGAGTAAATACGGCAATTTTTATTATTGCCAAAACAAACAAACAAACAAACCAGCAAACACACGGCCACTAAATCAATTCCGACTCATCGTAACCCTCAATCGCAGTGGTTCTCAGCCTTCCTAATGCTGCCACCCTTTCACACAGTTCCTCATGTGGCGGTGACCCCCCCCCCAACCATAAAGTTATTTTCGTTGCTACGTCATCACTGTCATTTTGCTACTGTTATGAATCGGATGACTCCTGTGAAAGGGGCGTTTTGACTCCCCCAAAGGGGTCGCGACCCACAGGGGGAGAACCGCTGCTCTCCAGGGTTTCGGAGGCTGTACATCTTTACAGGTACGGGCAGCTTCATCTTTCTTTTTCAGAAGATGAGTTTGAACCGCTATCCTTGAGGTGAGCAATCCAACACTCACCCAACATTGCCACCACGGCTTTTATTATAGGTTGTCCTGGTGGCACAGTGGCTGGTTGGTCACCAAAAAGTCAGCAGTTCAACCCTCCCCCCACCCCCAGTGATATGACTAGCTGCTCCCATAAAGCTTTACAGCCTTGCAAGCCCAATGTAGCAGCTCTGCTCTGCAAGGTTGCTAAGATGTGGAACTGTCTCAACAACAATAGGAAGGGCTTAGCACACAGGTCAGACAACCAGGCTGACTGTTGCCAATCGCTTTCCAGCAGCCTCTTCTCAAACCTCCCAGTCTCCAAACTCCTAGTTCATGCAGGGCACAGGCAGGTTCTTTCTGGAATGCAAAAGCAGACACAGTATTGTTGAGTCAGTTTCAACTCTTAGCGACCTTATGGGGTAGAGGAAGGGCTCGCAGGGTTTCCAAAGCTGTAATCCTTACATCTTTCACCCTAGTGAGGCTTGACTTTATTTAATATTTTGAATTTTCACTGAAGGTTTACACATCAAATTAGGTTCCCATTTGATATTTTTTACGCAAATTATTCGGTGACACGAGTTACATTTTTCACATCCTTTCTATTTCATATGGACTTATTTTAAAGCATTTGCTTTTTGTTTATTGCTGGTGTTGCCAAATTATTGCATCTTTATGTACCGTGCCCACCTAGTAGAGCCCTGGTGGCACAGTGGTTACAAGTTCGGCTGCAATCCGCAAGGTCAGCAGTTTGAAACTGCCAGCTGCCCAGAGGGGGGAAGACTGGGCTTTCACATGCAGTACAGAGTCACCATCGCAGAAACCCACAGGGGCAGTTCTCCCCCTGTCCTACGAGGAGCGCTAGGAGTTGGTATTGACTCCATGGCAGTTTGGTTTGGAGTTTGGTGCCCGCATGAATGATGGGCACACGTCTAAAAAGTTAACATGCCAGGAGGTTGAACAGTTTACATGTGCCTTCTCTGTGTAAAAATACAGTATTCTTATGTCATATTTTTTACAGGTAAACATCCTTTTTCAATGTGTGCTTCATACTGGCATGTTCACTTTGGTAAAGCTATGCTCATTAATTACACCCATCACACACACAAGTTATCAACGATATTTGAGAGTTATTCCTGCCTCGATGTATTCATTAAGCACCCACTCTATGTAAGACACGCTAGGCACTGTGGAAGTTTTAAAAAAGGAAAAAAAGTAAGATGCTGTCCGCAAGAAGCTTAAAATACAACAAAGAGGAGGAGACACAGCGGATAGGTGCAAGGAGAATCCAAGCACGAAGTTTCCTTTCATTTGTGAAAGGGGATTTGGAAGCCTCCATGCAGGAAGTGGCTCCTGAGTCTTTTAAATTACAGGTCGAATTTGAAGATGTGTAATTGAGGGCGCGGAAAGGAAGTCATTCCCGGCAAAAGAAATAATACGGGAGGAGGCGCAGAGGCGGGAAAGCACGGACGGGTTCTGGGAGAAAAGCCAGAGATCGGTGGGCTGGCGCAAGGGAGTACTCAAAGCATGAAGGAATAAGGTCAGATTGGGCCTCTCCGAGGCGCGGTGTCCTTGGGCAGAAGTCCGGATCCACAACACCGTCGCCCCGCGCCCAGTGAGGTGGCCTATGCCCTTAGGAGCCAACGCTACCCCCAGGGCCCGTGCCTCTTCGGCCCGGCCCACCTGCGCTTCCCGGGCTCGCGTTCCTCCCGCGAGGCTTTCCAGCCCGCCTCGGCCTGGAGAGAGAGGTCACCGCCATACCCCGACTCTCGCCCTCACGGCAGGCTCCCAGGAACCGCCTCCATAGCCCAGGACTCACCACCCTGACTCTGAACCGCCCAACGCGGCCTCAACGTCGCGGAGTAGTCGCCATCTTTCCCGTTTCCTGGTCGCGAAGCTGCGCCCTCGGCCGCGCGGTAACCTGGGAAGCCGAGTTCCGGGCTCTTCGCGCCGCGGGCTGACCAGGGAGCAATGGAAACTACATATCCCAGAATGCCCTGCGCGAGCGCCGGTCCGGGCCGCGGGGTTTGCTGGGCAATGTGGTTTCCGCAAACCTTGGACTAGGCTGGGGGGGCCGCGGGGCGCGGGCGGACCCGGAGCTTTCCGAGGGCTGACTTCCCGCAGGTCCCCTCCAGACGAGCGCCGTCTGCCTGGAATATGACGGTCTTAATAGAAACTACCGTTGTAAGGACTATCTTCGCCTGTGGCTTTCAGCGGAGTAACTTAAGAGTATTTTAGCTATCAATACATAGCATATAATTATCACCGTTGTGGAAAAACATTTTTACAGAAGTTGAGGAGGAGATTATTAGCCTCATTTTACAGATGAGTGAACTAAAGGTTAGGTTAGGTCCCACAGCAGCGGGACAATTTGCCGTTGTGTGGGACAGTCCCAAACCGACACCTTTCCGAAGTCCTCCCGGGCTGTAATAGGCCTGCTTTCTGAACATTTCTTCACTACATTCCGGATAAGCCCTGACTTCCTCATCTCCTTGCTCCAATTTGGGATCTGGGCTGTTTTGCGATTTACGTTTCTTTCTTCTTCCAATTATCCCCTGTTCACTGAATTCTTTTACCCCGAATTATATGGCCATTTTGTTTTTCTTTGGTCTTGGGAGTTCATAATTCGTCTAAAACAAAACGTTTGCCATTTCTATGATGATTTAGAAACCGGGAAGTATTTAGTGTCTTCTTCCTATTCTCCACCTTCAGCTTTATTGCTGCAATCTCAGGACTGCAAGTCTGACTACTCACTCTGAATATGATGTCAGTTCTTCCCAAGCAAAGTCCCGGGAGAGACGCAAATACTGAAATTCGAAATCCCTGATCATAAATATCACGACCCAAAGGAACCCTGGGATTTCACTTCTGCTCTTAAAACTCAAAGGCTTCGACTTTCTCCCAATTCCTACCCCAGAGAACCCCACCGCAAGGGAAAAGCAACCTGAGCTCTAGGTGGGATCGCCCAGTGAACGCTAGAGGGCTCTCCGCTCACAGAATGGAACCCAACCAAGAATCGCCAGGGAGGAATGGCAGGTTGGAACCTCTGAGCTGAGGCTATTTATTGAGAATCTGATGTCTTACTTCGTGCCGCACACGGAACCTGTGTTAGTTTACTTCGTTCTCGTAGCCATACGGGGTTTTAGCGCTATCTTACTACGGATACGGAGACTGTAGCCCATTAATTCAGCCTCCTAGTTCACCGATTTACAAAATGGAGCCAGAACTCAATTCCAGGTTTATTTTGCATCCCCAGCCATGTTCTTTTCCTGTTTCCCGGCTGCCATTCTTCCCCACCTTGAAAGATGAGGAGATGGAGACCCAGAAAGGTGGTAAAGGTTTTCCAAGAGGGTAAAGGATGCTCAATATTGTTTGTCTTGCCCTGCTTGTTCTTTCAAAGAGATGCATCTTCTGAAACAGGAACAGAGGGGACTATGCCCTCTGGGGAGGATCTAGGTGCAGTCTCTCCCTTATGGTCCATATCGTCCACCGTTAGGGGTCCACGGGGTTAAAGCTAACATTGTGACTCAGTTTGAAACCTGAGTCACTTGCAGTGTGATCGTGTGCAAGTTACAGGGCACTTGGGTTTTCTTATTTCTTCATTTATAAGCTTGGGATCATAATACCACTTGTTTCACAGGATGAGCTAGCAGAGCAGTTAAGAGGGCAGGTTCCAGACTGTGTATAGAGTTGTTCTTCAACTTTCCAAATTTGTGACCCTGGGCACGGTGACTAATCTCCTTTGAGGTCCAGTTTCCTTATCAGTCAAAACCTGGACTTCAAAGCATTATCACAAGGAATAAATAACAGAGAATTTCTGTGTCGTTAATTCATTAGACTCATTGAACAAATGCTAGCTATTATTATTTAGGAGGTTAAATGAGAAAATGTTACATAAAGCTCTCAGCAGAGTACTGAGCACATAGTAAGTGCTCAATAAATAGTAAAACTTTATTTCTGGAATTGTGCTCTGGGACTTGTGTCCCTGAGGAGAAAGGATGTGAAGGTCCCAGGGTTGCAATGGAATGGGAAGGTCAAGAAAGCAGATCAAAATATTTATAAAATTTGGGACAATTTAACAACAAAACACAAATAATCCAATGATAAAATTAGCAAAGGACTAACACAGATATTTCACCAAAGAGGACATTCAAATGGCATCAAACACAGGAAAAGATGCTCATGAGAGGCCTGCCCATCTATGAGATATCATGTTTCTCCCACGAAGATAACCAAGTGTTGGTGAGGCTGTGGCAAAATGGAAACCCTTAGCCATTGCTGCTGGCAGCAGAAAGGTACAGACTGTGGAAAGCAAAATTGGAAATAGAACTATTATATGACCCAGCAATTCCAGTCCTAGGTGTATACTCCTAGGCAGAGCCATATATAGATATATATCATGGTTGATTACAGTAATATTCACAATAACCAAAATGTGGAAACACCCTAAGTGCCCTTGAAGAAATGAATGACAACCAAACTGTACATACAATGGACTATGTGGTCGTCACCTAATCTGGTGTCAATTCAAGGATTAATAGTGTAGGGGTACAGCCTAGGCTGTCAATCTGGAGATAGCCAATGAAACTTCTATGTGGGCATCGTTCTTCTGAGAATTCTGGGAAATCTGGTACTTCCTCCTTGGAGGCGGAAGACATCTCTCTCTCTTTGCTACTCCCTGGGAGACATTGCAGAAGACAAGCCACATGGACACAACCAGACCTCGGAAGCTGGAGAAACCACAGAGAGACCCCTGCCAGCACTGAGATGCTTACACCGCCACTGGACCCAAAGACTTTCTACCCACTGGCTTGTGATCATCCTGCATTTGGCTTCATTGCCTGTGTTTCGTGAGTCTAAAGAGGACTTTATAGATTGGTTTTGGACATGTAGGCTAATATCAGACTTCTGGCCTGGGACTGGACTGGGTTGGGATGTTTTCTCCATGTTCAATTGCTCTTGTATAGAAACCTCTTTCTTATACACATGTGTGTCCATGGATTTGTTTCTCTAGTCTATCCAGACTAATACAGACTACTACTCAGTCAGTAAGAAAGAAAAAGAAGTCTGGATGCACACTACAGTTACAGAGCTTGAAGCACTGCACTGAATGAATGAGTCAGTCACAAAAGGACAAGTATTGTATGCCCTCACATAAAAAGCCAAGAACTGGCAAATGTACAGCGGCCAAAGTTTATTAGTGGTTATCGGGGGTGGGAGAGAGGAAGGGGTGGTTATTGCTTATGGAGCACTGAGTTTTGTTATATGATGATGGATACAAAATCACATGAAGGTTAAGGTTGTAAGTCCATTACTTTGATTACTGGCAATAAGTTGCACACCTGTAAAAATTGAATTTGAAAAAAATCACGTGTGTACCCACATGCATACAGAGGAGCTTCAAGAAGTTTGTGGAAAATGAAATTAAACAATGGAATATTCCCACAAACTTTTTTGAGAGCTATACCTTTTGAAATACTTAGATATCACTTCACCTTGAACTCAGAGCAGACCACACCTCCCTCCTGCCCTGTCTGCAGTATATCCCTGTCCTGCAGGGGTTAGCATCTCCCAGTTGGCCCCAAGGACATTTCACATCATCTGGAGACAATGTTGATTGCCATTGTGAGGGATCAGGGTAGACAGTGCTATTAGTCTCTAGTGAGCAGAGGCCAAGATGCTGCTAAACATCCCACAATGCACGGCACAGCCCTGTACAACAAAACCTTATCCAGTCCAAATGCCCATAGTTTCAAGGTGGAGGAGCCCTGCTCTGGGGCTCAGGAAATGGGCCTCCTGGGCTTGGCAGAACTTGGGTGGGCACAGAGAGGCGTTCCTTTCGGAAGGTGCTCGGCAGCAGTAGAGGCAGCCCACTGGTGGCACAGAAAGAGCCTCGGGGCGGCTCTCTCCCCCTTGACACTGCCCACAGGACAAGGGGAGAATGAAACCAAGAAAAACAAAGTCAACCTCTTTATAGGTATTATATTTTCATTAATAAATAGGTTTTCTTCTTTACACGGAACATATGACATATTGAAACACGCCCCCCTCCCCCCATTCCAAAGACAAGAGTCTATAAAACAAATGCCAGCTGTACTGCCCAAGGGCAGGAAAAAGTGACACACACAACCCCAGCTCTCCCCTGCAGCACCACCACCCCCACACTCAAGAGAAGGGGGTCTGGGGCTTCTCCCTTGGGCTCCGGGGACTAGGGCGAGAAGCATGTGAATGTATGACGGCACCTCTCCGCGAGGCACGGGCTACAGGAAGGTTTCCTTCCCATCGGCTCTGACCAGCTCCTGCCCTTCGGATTTGTTATGAAGCACCTGAGCTACACTCGCTCCCAAGGGAGCTGCCTCTCAGCTTCCCCACGCGCCACCTCTCAGCTGAGCTCTCCTCAAAGGGGAGGGAAAGGGCTCAGGGACCCCTCCATCCCTTGGCCTGCATGGAGATGCTGTGTGGAAGGGGCATGACACTGAAGGTGAGGCTCTTGTAGGCCCCCAAGCCCAGTAGGCCAACATGCCCCCATCCGCCAACACCTTCCTTCCTCTGCAGTGCGGGGCCAGGGGGCAGTTACCCCCTCCACAGCCTAGTGCCTGGCTTGGGGTGATGGTTCTCTCTCAGTGGCAGGCCCTCATGCCGGACCCGGCTCCTTCCTTGTCCCATTCCTGTCTCCTTCCAAGCCCTCACCATGGCTGTCCGAAAAACTCGTGTCCAATGTCCTAAACTGTCTCCTCCTCCCTCTCTCCCTCGGCCTCTATGCCCCATGGGAGGGGGAGTGGAGGTGGGCTCCCCTCTCCAACCCCCGCTTCACATAATGGAACAGCTTTTGGCCTTTTCCTTCTTGAAGGTGGAAGAGATGAGTTCAGAGCGGCTGGGGAGGTGGAGCAGTCGCTTGGAGAGGCTTCGGACAGGGCTCTTCGGGGGCACTGGGCTGGCCTTGTTCAGACACACCATGGACGCCGTTCGAAAGATGCTGTGGACGCTCTTTTCCGAGGTGAAAGCTGAGCCTTCCAGGTAGATTTCTGCACCCAGCTGCTTGGCCATCGCACAGCCCTGCAGAAGCAGGTGAGGTCATTAGCACGGGGGTCTGAGATGACTTGGCACCCCGGGGCACCCCCAGTGGGACCAAAGTGACTGTCTCCCATCACCACCAGTGACTTTTTCTGAAGGTGAGACCAGAGGGCACATTTAGGGTCTGCTGGAACATGTTGGAACCATATGTATTGGTGTTCTGGGGTGTATCTTTCCACCACCATGGGAGCGTGCGTGTGTGTGTGTGTGTGTGTGTGTGTGTGTGTGTGTGTGTGTGTGTGTAACCTGGTTCAGTTTGTGTGAAGGCAGACCAAGTGCGGCGTTTCTGCAGGCAGGAGGACCTAGGCATCAGGTGTTCAGAAGTGCTCCTTGGGTGACTCTAATGTGGAACACTGGTGTCCAAGAAAGGGTCCTTAGGAGTCGGAACAGACTCAATGGCAGTGGGTACACTCCCACAGCTATGGAGAAACCATCCAGGGATCGCAATTCAAATGCAAATTGTCCTACCTTTCTGCCCAAGTCAGTCTACGGAGCCAAGATTCTGAAATTCTAACCAGCACCCTGAGTGATTCTAATGAACACACAACAGCATTTGAGAAACACAGGCCTGGCTCACCTGCAACCTACAGCATTTGTTCAGGCAAACAGGTACCCACCCCACCTCCATCCAGGTGATTAGTTTGCTGATTTCAGATGTTACTAAGACACCCCCCTCCAAATGCTAATTCTCTCTTACTTTATAGATGCCCTTTCCATAATGCTAATTGTCTCTGGCTATTGTGGGACAGTGTGAGCAAGGGCCAAGCCACATTTCAGGCCCTCTGCTTGTAGCCTTCTTCACCGCCCTCTCTGCTCCCCACTCGCACACAGACCTGCTCATAGGAGATGGGGGCCTGCTTCTGGTGGGACAGCTCCATCAGAGTGCTCAGGTCTGTTCGTAGGTCTGTCTTGCAGCCAATAAGCAATACCCGGGTGCTGGGACAATAGTCTAGGATTTCCGTCTTCCACTGTTGGCAGGAGGGAAATGGGCAGGCGGAGAGAAGGTTTCAGTGGCAGACAGATATCCAGAGAAGCCTAGTTGGCAACAGCGCACCAGCCTATTCTCCCCAGCCCAGAGCTCCCTCTGTGTCACAGCATCACCGCCACTGCATGAACGACATCACCCTCCTGCTATAAAAGGGCCGACCCTGGAGCCTGTCCCTCAGTCAACAGTGCAGTCACCAGAGAGATCACGTGGGCTGTTCTTCCTCTGCCCCACCAAGCAAGCAGGGCATGAACCTGGCACCTCACCCCGGTCAGAGGGCCTCACGAGTTCCAGAAGGCCAGTGGAGAAGCCAACCAGTTTCTTCCCAAAGGAAGGAGCTCATCCAAGAGTCTTCTGGGAAGCTGGGCTAGTTTCATAAGGCATCCTCGGACTGCTCAGTGTGTACAGGTGGGTCTTGCCCCACAGGCCTTGCCAGGCGTTTCCTACCAGCTGTCCAGCTCAGGCCTTGACTAGTTGGCCCAGTCTCAGTGGGCCTGGGATCAAGGTCTATAGAAACTGCCTCCCAAAAATACCATCCCTGGTCCTCCCACCATGTCACCAAAGGGGTCTCAAACTCTCAGCCCCTGGCTCCTTATGTCTTCAACACCACCTCCCTTGCTGAGCCTCTGGCAAAATACAAGGCAGGCAAAGGACCCTAGCAGAGGTGAGGGTGTGGGTGGGTGGGAGCGTGGAGCCAAAGGAGACCTGGGCTTTAGTCTCAGAGTTGTAGCTCTTCTCCTGGGGCAAATCCCATCCTTCCCTGGCCTCTGTTTCACCATGTTACACAAGAGAAGACTCAATGCCAAGGTCCCCAAGAGTCCTTGTCCCACAGATGCTGGGCTAGAGATTTCAGAGTTGCTCCAGCCTTACCTTCTTGAGTGCGCTGTCCACCGTCTCCGGACGACTGATGTCGAAGCACAGTAATACTGCATCCGAGTCGCTGTAGCAGAGCGGGCGGACGTTATCATAGTAGGGAGACCCTGGGGGTGAAGAGAAAGTCCAAGGGAAACTTATGTCCCAAGAGCCCTAGGAATACCAGTCCTGCTCCCTTAGATAAGTTGGCCCCACCCATCTCCCAGGGAAATGTGCTACAGCCTACAGATTTGGGACTGATCACCAGCCAGAAGCAGCTCAAGGACACTAGCTTTCTTAGTCCTGAAAAAAAAGGATGGAAATCGGGGTGGGAGCCTATTATTCGACCCTGTCTGGGTCTTGGGGGTCTCGCACAGTGGGTCTGCAAATTTTCTGGGTCCCAGAGGAAGAGGGTCCTGATCTGTCAGAGACTAGGGCTTTCCAAAAGTTTCCCCTTTCCTAGACCTGACCTGTTCCAGATGACCCTGAGTCTAAGCTCTGCCCCCATCTGCTGGTCTAGGGTCTCCCCAGTGAAGAAACAAGCCTGCCTGTTATATAATCGACTCCTCTGCTTCCCTGTCATGGGTCAGACCTCCAGGAGGCTGGCAGAGGAGGGGAAGAGGATGCTGTGCCCTAGGCCTCTACCCACCCTAATCCACTTCCACCGGAGAGGACCGAGGGAAAGCTGGAGGTCTGACTTCCTAGCACCTCAGAGAGGTGACCCCAAAGACAAGAGCACCAGACCCTGGGGATCCAGAGGCCAGAGAATGGGTCCTTGGTTAGAAGAAAGTGAGTGGCATTGGCACCCCAGGAGGTCTGACCTGGGAGAATGCTAGGGGCTGAGCCTGTCCCCCTCCACCCTGGGGAAGGAACGGGAGTGGATTTGGAGCCCAGACAATCCGTGCTCAGAATAGCAAGCAGCCCCTCTCCTTGTACCGCTATCACCATGGAAACTGGGGGGAATCCAAGCTGGGGAGGGGGATTGGT